GATAACAATCATCATACCAAAACCTCGGATGATTAACTACGAATCATTTCAACTTCCAATGATTAGAAAAGAGTTTATCTCAACCTCGGACGAATTCACCTGTGATGATACATTAGACATCCTAACTTTGGATGGGCGACTAGGCGTTATACCTCAGGGGGAAAAAATATCATAGTGACTTACCTTGAATGACGCCGTGTATATTTGAGATAATTTGAACCAGTACTGATGTAGAAGCAATGAACAGGAGAAGACATTAAAGAAGAATGAATAGAGAAATAACAAACGATAACATAAATAACAATAACGGATAAAAAAGGGGGGGAAGGAATAGCGATTAAAAGAGATTAAGAGTTTGGGAAAGAGATTTATGTTACGAGGATGAAAATATTAACAGAGAAAAAGAGAAAGATAACAGAGAGAGAAAGAGAGAAGAGAGACAGAGAGAGAAAAGGAGAAAAAAGACTAGGAAAATGAGAGAGAGAGAGAGAGAGAGAGAGAGAGAGAGAGAGAGAGAGATAAAAACAATAAAGAGAAACAATTAGAGACAAAAAACAAGAGAAATAAAGATCACAGAGATAAAGATTGTGAGAAAGACAGACAGACAGACAGACAGACAGACAGACAGACAGAAATAGGAAAATTATAACTAAAACGTCTCAAATAAACACAAATAAACATAAAACAAAAGTCTTGATTTTAAACACAAACTATAAGCCAAAGCGGAAGCAGACAGGTAGACAGACACAGACAGACACAGACAGACACAGACAGGTAGACAGACACAGACAGACCAACTAATTAAGTAAAGGTATGTCAGGTGAGTTCCGATACCTTAAAGTTCACGTAAGAAATAAATTGCTTGAAACAAAAATACTCCATCTACTGTTACACTTGAAGCAACAGTCCACTTTTGTAGCTTTTATTAAACACTCTTTTGTAGTTTTCTTATCATCTGATCAGTAGATGATAGACTAATATAAATAATGAAGATATTAATTATTATTGTCTTATTTTTTGGTCCATTTTTCTCTTGCTTCTTCTTCAAAATATTAATCCATGTTTTGGTGTTTTATTTTTCTCAGTAAGATTCATTTCTCGTTATTAAAAACTTACCTTAGAGACACTTATCATATCAAATGACGATATTGGAAACAAACAAATGATTAACGCCTTTATAAGTGTAGTCAATAACAATTACAACTGTATTTATCAATCGTTCAATACACGGAGAAACACATAAAAACCAATAAAAAACTATAACACATTTTCTCACTTAATTCCCATAAACTTTGGGACAAGTATCGCGCGAGATTCTTAATCCTGAAACAGCGAGCCCAGAGACTAGCGGGCGAGGTGGAGTGCCATTGACGGCAGCGAGCGATATGCTTCACCCGCGGTATCTGGAGGACTACTGAGGCACTAGTCGCTCCTGGACCCCCCCTCCTCCTCCTTCCACACACTCTCCAACCCACCCTCCCTCCCACTCTCACTGCCCTGCCTCACACTCACCCTCCACACATGCGCAGGTTGTCTCTCCTATCGTCTCCCTTCATACAGGTCCTCCCTGGCTTGACTATCTCCAGAGTCTTAAGAATAGAATCATACTTGGTAATTCTTGCTACCATAGATCACCATACATCTTTATTCTGGGCGACGAACACAACGGCTAAGGGATTTTTAGTATGCGAGTATTGGGACCACCGCTTCTAGGGGCTTTCCTTTTTTTCTTTTATAGTTCTCAACTTTTTTGGTAATTCTACTTTTATACCTTATTGTTTCCGTGTAGATGACATTGCTTACGTTCCTTTATTTATTCTTTTATTCATTCGCTTTACGTTTATTTCAGTTTTAGATAAGGAAACAATATATATTTTTTTATTTTTCTTCTCGTCGCTATATTTAACAAGGTGCTACAGGGAGTAGTCGTCTTTTTTCCCCTGGTACTTTAAGCTTAGTGTTATTATCCCACCTTACTTTATTTACAAGGTTTAAACTTTTTTTCTTGACGTTCTGAAGATACAGTTAACCTTCCGCTGCCAAGCTGGTGGGATTATTGGATTACTTTTGGTGTGTGTGTGTGTGTGTGTGTGTGTGTGTGTGTGTGTGTGTGTGTGTGTGTGTGTGTGTGTGTGTGTGTAAACTTAATAGGTGACTGGTGTTAATGAACGAGTGTGCGATAATTTGATTTCAGAGACAATAGTAACACTTCAAGGTCAACCAAATGTCATATGTAAAATAATCTGAAAACTTAAAACTCGTCTATTGATTCGAATTAAACTTGGTGCGTACACTTAGGTTAGGTTAGGTTAGGTTAGGTTAGGTTAGGTTAGGTTAGGATAGGTTAGGTTAGGTTAGGTTAGGATAGGTTAGGTTAGGTTAGGTTAGGTTAGGTTAGGTTAGGATAGGTTAGGTTAGGTTAGGATAGGTTAGGTTAGGTTAGGATAGGTTAGGTTAGGTTAGGATAGGTTAGGTTAGGTTAGGTTAGGATAGGTTAGGTTCGTCAGGGAAAGCACTCGCTATAATTGGAAAATGTTGGTCAAAGTAAAAATTTATAGGTCATGGTCAGAGGTCAAGGTCATAGGTCAATGTAATAAGTCAAGGTTATCAGGTCCAGGTCAGCTTCCTTCCCAAGGTTCAATAACTGACACCGAAGTCGTGATATATTATAAGAGTTAATCGATACGTCGTGGATAGTGTAAACAATACTCTCTCTCTCTCTCTCTCTCTCTCTCTCTCTCTCTCTCTCTCTGCCCTCTCCTCTCCTCTTCTCTCTCTCTCTCTCTCTCATACACAACCATCATATAAACCGAACCCCCAATTTTTTCCTCTAAATTCATCAACCGAAGCTCGCCAGAGACTCTTCCATCAACACACACACACACACACGCCAAAAGGACTCTCATGGTATATCACGTAGAGTACATCAAAACCTCATCAATACAGACAGACAGAAAGACAGACAGACACACAGATAGACAGACTCACGGGGGATGGGAGAGGGGTGGGTGGGAAGGCATCAATTCCTCAATCTCTATCGCAAACTTATCCATCTGACCAACCTTTCCCAATGGCCTAAAACCTGAAAGAGGATGTGAATAAACCTCCAACATGGACTCGGTATTAAGGCTGCTGTTTTAATGACGCAAATACTTAAGATTTTCACTTTTTTATTATTTTTTTTTTTTTTTTTTTTTGTGTGTGTGTTCCGGCGAGGCTTTCCTTAGTTTCGGAGAGCTTGTTGAATATTGAATAGATGGATGGATGGATGGATGGATGGATGGAGACAGTGAATGAGATGGATGGAAATAGATATATACCTGTAGAGAATTGGAAAGACAGATTTAGATGGATGGTGACAGATGCATACAGAGAGAGAGAGAGAGAGAGAGAGAGAGAGAGAGAGAGAGAGAGAGAATCATCCCCAGTACTCTACAAAAACAGACGCATCTCATTAAGTTTTTTTCGTGAAAGCTTGTCCTCTTGACATGTCATTACTGATGTACTCTTATTTACATCGCTATAAAAATAACGAGAGAGAGAGAGAGAAAATAAGAGAATCTACACAACAGCGGAGTAAGTATACTGAGGCGAGCAGAGACTTGTAATCTACACAGAGGAAAACAAAATTGTATTTAGTTTATCTTAATGACGAACATCAGAATAATAGTAGTATGTAATATAATCAAAATTTATGTAATTATTTATAGTGGAAATTAAAATATTATTATATACTCTAAAAAGGTAAAGACATGTACTTTTCCCCTGTTCTTCTACACATGACCTCCTAATTCTGGTGACCTTTGACCTCTGTATAATGATAAAAAAAACTAAATAAGCAATACAATAATAAACCCTAGCCTGAATTGGTGTATTTTTGACGACCTATGACCTAAGATAAACAATAGGCAGAAATACATAACAGAAATACAGTACCAAGATATTGATATATTTAGTCGTATTTTAAGTATATTGGTTAAGTCATAGCAAAATACACCACTAAGGCTTCCTGAAATTTGTTATTTATTTATTTGTAACCCTTAATCTTTGAACATAACTTGAAATGCAATATGTAGTGAAAATTTTATTTAATGGACTATATGAAGATGAAAATCCGCTATACAGAAGGTCCGTTAGATGAGAAACCCCCATCTAACGGATTATTTAGACATGAAAGTCCGTTATATCGAGGGTCCGTTAGATGAAAAACCCCCATCTAATGGATTATTTAGACATGAAAGTCCGTTATATCGAGGGTCCGTTAGATGAGAAACCCCCATCTAACGGATTATTTAGACATGAAAGTCCGTTATATCGAGGGTCCGTTAGATGAGAAACCCCCATCTAACGGATTATTTAGACCTGAAAGTCCGTTATATCGAGGGTTCGTTAGATGAGAAACCCCCATCTAACGGATTATTTAGACATGAAAGTCCGTTATATCGAGGGTCCGTTAGATGAGAAACCCCCATCTAACGGAATATATGAAGTGAAAAATCCAATATATTGAGGATTCACTGTATAATTTACTATACTGTATATAAACTAATGCAAAGTCTACAGTATATATTATGAACGAACTATAATATTAATTAATGAAACTATAGGACTCAACGACGACTATAAATCCAAGAAAGAAAGAAAGAAAGAAAAAAAGAAAAATTGAAAGAAAGAAAGAAAGAAAGAAAAATTGAAAGAAAGAAAGAAAGAAAGATTGAAAGAAAGAAAAAGAAAAAAAAAGAGAAATTTAAATAAACACAAAGACAAAGAAGATACAGAGGATGATTTAAAATCCACATTAAATCCTTCTCTCTATACAAGACAGATAAAATATTAAGCGTGTAGGATTAACTGAGATGCCAATGTTTCATAACTACAGAATAATATATAAATAGTAAAGATTTAGATGGAGGAAAACGTCACATTACACAAGTGAACTTTGAAGTCCTTTATAAATATTAGGTTAATTTACGATAAGTTGGGTCAAGGTGAATACACAGTGATGAGAGAAAGAAAGAAAGAAAGAAAGAAAAGAAAGAAAGAAAGAAAGAAAGAAAGGGGGAGGCGGGTGAAGAGTTAAACGGAAAAGGTTGTGACCAAACGTACCCTCAGCATTTCCTGCCTGGGAGTCAACATGGCACTCCCCTTCCCCCACTAACCCCACCTCCCCACCTAGATACTAGTGCAGGGATTGTTGATCATTTCAGCAGTCAGTGTTTACAATGTAGGCCTATACGACACACCAGCGGGGAGGTACCGTGATATCCAGGTTGGTGACATTCCACAGCACAGCACAGCACAGCACAGCACAGTACACCACACCACACCACACCACACTACACCAGCGGCGAGGGAGGCCTACAACCACGTGTTTCCTCTACAACAACACATTATCAGTAACTCATATATAACCTGTGTGTTTACTCCAGGTCTCCCTTTTGGTATTGAAAACCGTGGTTAAACATTCCACTCCCCGATGCCACTATACCTATTATTGTAAGTCTTTGTCTGCCTATTGTATATTTTCAACCTCTGGCTCCTGTGCTTTTCAATAGCCCATTACTTATCAATTATTAATAATTATTATTATTATTATTACAGAGAAGCAACAGAACGAAGGAAGAAGAGAGAGAGAGAGAGAGAGAGAGAGAGAGAGAGAGAGAGAGAGAGAGAGAGAGAGAGAGAGAGAGAGAGAGAGAGAGAGAGAGAGAGAGATTCTGATAAGGCTGCCACTCTCAAATATTAAATTTGGAGGATGTACATTACAGTGTCACACGTAAAACAGAATTCGTGTCTCACTGACTTTCAACACATTGAAAAAGTGGAGAAAAAAAATATTATCCCATTTTCCTTACAAATGTAATGCACATTTTCTGTGTTTCTGCTTTTACCTGATTACTATTTATCTTTCAGTTATTCATGTATGTATATACAGTACGTACGAATTAAGCTCACGTTAGGAAGTTTTGTAATATAATGAATGAATATACATGTATACATATGCATTAAAATACGCAGAGTTTGATGTATTGCAGACAGAGACGGCACATGATCGAGGTATTCCAAATGATAAGAAACAAATATGACCCGACAGGTACACTATATGACCCGACAGATACACTATATGATCCGACAGGTACATTATATGACCCGACAGGTACATTATACGACCCGACAGGTACACAAGCTGCACAAACACAGAACACCAAACTAAGGTAATATTTCTCTACTCATCTCATCACGAACCCCCCAAAACAGCTTTACCATTACAGTAATTCGAAGTTCCAAGTATTAAGTCGTTCGAGAAAAGACTGGAGGAATATTGGGAAGACCAAGATGTAGTGTATGACCACGAAACGACCGTGAAAACTACTGGTAACAGAAATATCCTTTATGCATCAGACATACATGGAGATGAGGATGTAAAGGTCTAGTGACACACGCATATTCACACACACTTCCCCCCCACACATAACCACACATATACTTGTACACACACACACACACATACACACACTCTCCCCAACACAACCTCCCCCCCCACACACACACCACACGCACACCCCTAACACACACACGCACACATCCACACGCACATTCCCCACACACCACACACACACCCCACAAACACAGAACACTCACACGGACATTCCCCACACACACACCCTCCACACACACTCCCCCTGCACACACTACTCCCAAAACAACCCCCCCACACTCCCCCCACACACACCCTCCACACACACACACACACACACACACACCCCCCTGCACACACTCACCCCAAAACAAACTCCCCCCACACTTCACACACACCCCCTCCACACACACACACACACACACATTCCACAACACACACAACCACACACCCCCTGCCTACTACTACTTTGATGTCACTCGGAATCGAGTATGACGATCATCCAGCTATGATACAATGATATGAGTTATTAGGGATGTCACCTAGGTTAGTGAGTTCTGAGGTGAGTAAAGAGACCGATACGGGACCCGCAGGGTCGATCACAGATGCTGCACGTGTGGGGGGCTACATCTAGTGCGGGAGGGGCGGTGGCAGCGTCTTTCCGGCGTTGGCGCTTGTCTGCCTCGGTTTGCAGTCGGGCTAATTCGAAAGTATTGGCACCTTCTTGTGTGGTGCTCCTCCAAGGACCCCCCCCCCACACATACAGCCAAACACACACACTTCCCCAAAAACACCCCTCTATACACACACCATCCGCACACACACCCTATCCACACACACCCCCCACTACGACCCCCACACGCACCCCCATCGCACACACACTCCTACCCACACACACACCCATCCACAACACTCCCCCACACGCACCCCCATCGCACACACAGACACACACACACACACTCCTCCCACGTACACCCCTCCTACACCCCCCCCCACACACCCCTAATCCCCACACCCCTCCACACACATATACAATATCAACATTTCAATACGACTTCTTAATACCTGGAGGTCTTATGGATTTGTCACGTGGAAAGATTAATTAATTTTTCTCTCGTGTAAAAACTGAGTTACTCCTGAAAGATCAAAGTAAGTTCTCGTTAAAGGGCTTCGAGTCATTAAGCATTACAGTATAATAAAATGGCTTCATATATTTAAGGGACTTATTTAAAAAGCCCGAATTATTTAAAGAGTTTGTTCAATTATTTATAGGACTTGTGTGAAAGGCCTGAATTATTTAAAGGGCTTGTTTAAAAGGCCTGAATTATTTAAAGAGTTTGTTCAATTATTTATAGGACTTGTGTGAAAGGCCTGAATTATTTAAAGGACTTGTTTAAAAGACCTGAATTATTTAGTGATCTTATTTAAATAGATTATACAGATTATCCATAATTAAACTGAAGTGGGAGTGAAAGAGAGGGGAGAGAAAGAGAGGGAGAGGGAGAGGGAGAAGGAGAGGGAGAAAGAGGGAGAGGAGAGAAAAAGAGGAGAGGGAGAGGGAGAGGGAGAAAGAGGGGGAGAGGGAAAGGAAGATGAAGAGGGAGAGGGAGAGGAAGAGGGAGAAAGAGGGAGAGAGGGAGAGAGGGAGAGAGGGAGAGAGGGAGAGAGGGAGAGGGAGAAAGAGAAAGGGGTGAGAGAAAGTGAGAGAACAGAGAAGGGAGAGAGAGGAAGAGACAATGGGAGAGAGTGGTGGTGAAAAGACAGAGAAGGAGAGACTGTGAAGGGGGGGAGGGATAGAGAGTGAGTAGAAGAGAGGGAGATGAAGCAGTGGCTGTGAGAGGTGGAGAAGGGGAAGAAATGGAGAGAAGAAGAAGAAGAAGAAGGAGGAGAGACTGTGAGTGGGAAGAGAGTGAGAGAAAAGAAGGAGTGGGAGGGGAGTGAGAGGGGGAAGCACTATGTCAAGCTTATAAGGGAGAGCTGCGGGAGGTGTGGCAATTGAGTGAGAGCTGGATAGACGAGCAGATGATGAAGACGAAGAGGAGGAGGAGGAGGAAGATGACGAGGAGGAGGAAGAAGGGAGGAAGAGGAGGAGGAGGAGGAGGATGACGAGGAGGGGCGAAGGAGGAAAGAAAAAGACAAAAAAGACAGACAGACAGACAGACAGACAGACAGACAGACAGACAGACAGACAGACAGATAGATAGATAGATAGATAGATAGATAGAAATACTTATAGGTGAATAGACAGAGAGACAGAAAGAGATAAAAGAGAGAAAAAAAGTGAATTTCCTCTTTCATGTCACCTGACCAAGATGATCTGGCCACCTTCAAGACATAAACACAACACCTTCCTTTACCCAAGAAATTTGACACTGTGGCCACTCTGAATTTTCTCCAAGAAGCTTTCCGGTGTCAAACTTTCGCCTGATACTTTCTTTTTCGGCTTTCTAGGATGACGAGAAAAGTTATCTAGAAAGGTGCGAAAGTTGTGAGTGAGGAGAGGAGGTGATATGTGAAAAGACGAAGTTAGGACACCGTGTTGAAGTGTCTGATATTAAATTCTTTTTGTGTTTTTGTATGTAGGGATGGAGTCCCGGTGTTTATTATTATTATTATTATTATTATTGTTAGTGTTATTATTATTATTATTATTATTATTGTTAGTGTTATTATTATCATTATTATTATTATTATTGTTAGTGTTATTATTATTATTATTATTATTATTATTATTATTATTATTATTATTATTATTATTATTATTATTATTATTATTATTATTATCATTATTATTATTATTATTAGTAGTAGTAGTAGTAGTATTAGTGTTAGTGTTATTATTATTATTATTATTATTGTTATTATTATTATTATTATTATTATTATTATTATTATTATTATTATTATTATTATTATTATTATTATTATTATTATTATTATTATTATTATTATTATTATTATTATTATTATTATTATTATTATTATTATTATTATTATTATTATTATTATTATTATTATTATTATTATTGGTGTCGGTGTATGCTAATATATTTAATCACTTAATCTTGCATGGATACGCTTTGTATTACCAAGTTCCTGGAACAACCGCTAGTCATTATTTATGATAATGAAGAGAGAAGCTCCATGGTGGCTGAGCATGAGAGAGAGAGAGAGAGGATCCACAAGTATCCAATTTGCATACTTTGAGCATCTGACTTGTAACATCCATCAACGTAGAGTTGCAAAGACACGTTCATTTTTTATTTAGAAAATGGAAAACTAGAAAAACACACACACACACACACACACACACACACGGTTCCTCTCCCTAGATAATAGCATTCATCTGGACCTGAGGGAAACTCCCCCTGCGAGATGCCAAGGAACTGGTGGGCAGAACTAAGTGAGACTACACTTGGTAGGGTCCCCTGCATCAACAAATGGCCCGGAATTGTGCCATGGAGAAATGGAATAGGGAGAAGCAGGCAGGGAGGATGGATGGAACAACGAGATGAACGAGTACAAGGGATTTCAGAATTATGGACGACTACTGTTTTGTGTCTACATCTTTACATTAAACCTGTACAGTATATCGTCTACATAAGTAAACACAGCTATACACACACACACACACATACACCCACACACGTTTCTTAAGGAGACAGTAAGGCAACAGGACATTTGTTCGTGAGTGTACTGTACAATAGATAACCAAACAGACAGATATGTAGACAGAGACGTGTACACACTCAGATATAGATAGACAGATGTACATAGATGCACCCTTATCTTTTACCCTCCCTTCATTCCTTCTTTCCCTCGCATCATACTCCCACACACTCTCTCTCTCTCTCTCTAAACGTAGTAGTAGTAGTAGTAGTAGTAGTAGTAGTAGTAGTAGTAGTAGTAGTATTTCATTATCATTATCAATAAATATCAGCAGTGTCATCTTTCCCAGAAGAACACCCAGAAGAACATATAGAACACCCAGAAAAACACCCTAGAAGAACGCCCAGAAGAACATATAGAACACCCAGAAAAACTAGAAGAACGCTTCCAGAAGAACATATAGAACACCCAGAAAAACACCCTAGAAGAACGCCCAGAAGAACATTCAGAAGAACACCCAGAAGAAAACACAGAACATCCAGAAGGACATTCAGAAGAACACCCAGAAGAACATCCAGAGGAACACCAAGAAGAACACCAAGAATAATATTCAGAAGAACACCAAGAAGAATATTTAGAACACCCATAAGATCACCCAGAACATCCACAAGAACATCAAGAACACCCAGGACACCCAGAAGAACATTCAGAACATCCAGAAGAACACCCATAAGAACACCCAGAAGAACACAGAGGAACACCACAAGAACGTCTAGAACATCCAGAGGAACATCACGAGCACCCAGAAGAACATTCAGAACATCCAGAAGAACACGCAGAAGAACATCCAAAACACCCAAAAGAACACCCAGAAGAACACAGGAGACCACCCAGTAGAACACCCAGAGGACCATCCAGAAGAACACCAACAATAACACCCAGAAGAACACCCAGAGCATCCAGAAGAACACCCAGAAGAACATCCAGAAGAACACCTATAAGAGCATCTAGAAGAACACCCAGAAGAACACCCAGAAGAACATCCAGAAGAACTCTCAGAAGAACACCCAGAGCATCCAGAAGAACACCCAGAAGAACATCCAGAAGAACACCTATAAGAGCATCTAGAAGAACACCCAGAAGAACACCCAGAAGAACATCCAGAAGAACTCTCAGAAGAACACCCAGAAGAACACAGGAGAACATCCAGAAGAACGCCCAGAGCATCCAGAATAACATCCAGAAGAACATCCAGAAGAACACCCAGAAGAACATCCAGAAGAACTCTCATAAGAACACCCAGAAGAACACAGGAGAACACCCAGAGGACCACCCAGAAGAACACCCATAATAACACCCAGAAGATCACCCAGAGGATCCAGAATAACATCCAGAAGAACACCTATAAGAACATCCAGAAGAACACTCAGAACATCCAGAAAAACACCCAGAAGAACATCCAGAAGAACACCTATATGAACATCCAGAAAAACACCCAGAAGAACATCCATAAGAACACCTATATGAACATCCAGAAGAACACCCAGTAGAACACCGATAAGAACATCCAGAAGAACATCCAGAAGAACATTCAGAACACTCAAAAGAACATTCAGATCATACAGAAGAACATCCAGAAGAACACTCAGAACATCCAGAAAAACATCCGAGAAGAACATCCAGATGAACACCCAGAAGAACATCCAGAAGAACACCCATAAGAACATCCAGAAGAACACCCATAAGAACATCCAGAAGAACACCTATATGAACATCCAGAAAAACACTCAGTAGAACACCCAGAAGAACAACCAGTAGAACACCGATAAGAACATCCAGAAGAACATCCAGAAGAACATTCAGAACACTCAAAAAACATTCAGATCATGAAGAAGAACACAAGAACAACCAGAAGAACATCAAACAAAACAAACTATACCCGTATATCACAAGTTGAGTCAAATTCTGTGGTAAATATTGCAAGAATCTCAACTTTATAGAGACACAGGCCCGACCAGTTGCCCTCACCCCAGACGACCTACCTAAGAGAGGGAGCTGAGTTATACACCAAGATCAGGGGGTATTTCTCGGGTAGTCGGGGGGTCGGTGGAGGGAGGGAGGGAAGGAGGGAGGGAGTGTAAGGTTGAATGGAGGTGGAAGGAGGGGAGGAAGTGAGAGATGGAGTGAAGGAAGGGTGGAGGAAGTGGGGGTGAAACGGAAGGAAGGAGAAGATGAAGGAGTGATGGAGTGGGGAAGTGGGCGTGTAAATGATTGAAAAAGAACTGGGAATTAGAGACAGACAGACAGATGGCCAGAGAATCAGACAGACTGACTTATAGACCGCGAAACATACAGACAGCGACAGACGGACATACAGACAAACAGACATAGATTAACCACTCGTCTCCCAGCTACACCATCATAATAAACGTAGCTTCATAACCTAGCTCGGTAGACCTGTGCCAACGACTCCCTTCATCACGTCACGGTAAGGCAGCACCAGTCACCCGCCCACCTCCTGCAGCTCATCATCTTCAACAGAACACACTCACAAAATCTGTGTTAATCCAGGAATTCTATCTTTCATCTCCCGTTTGGTAATGCCTGCAGGTGTACTGGTGATTCTGCTATTGTTAATGGGTTAATTAACATGGAAGGGAAGGGAAATTAAGTTAGGATTAGAGACAGTGCTTGGATGTTATTATTAATCCTTGTCGTTGGTACACGTGACAGCATATGTAATATAGTTTATGTGTAGAGAGAGAGAGAGGGAGAGAGAGAAAATACAGAAGAGAAAGAGAGAGGGAGAGAGAGAAAATACAGAAGAGAAAGAGAGAGGGAGAGAGAGAAAATACAGAAGAGAAAGAGAGAGGAAGAGTCACATACTGTACACACACACACACACACACATACACTTCATCCTTGACCACCGAAGGGTCAAGACGTACCTGGCGCTGCTCTGGCAGCAGCCACGTCAACTGTTGTGTTGGCCCATACCAAGTCCCTCCCCTGAACCCTCCTCCCCACCGGAATATCAACAAGATCTCGCCAGAAGTTACTATTTCATTTAGAAAAGGAATGGAACTAGTGTTAAATAGTGGTGAACAGTGCTTAAGTCAGTGAAAAACAACTCGGCAGTAACAGCTGAGTCTTACCCAAGCTAGCCTTCACACAGTGAGGTCCCAGGTACCCAGTGATAGCAGCCCCTTGAAACTCCACAACACCAGTTATGTGTTGATCCGTCCACGATAGGGAGGCCTAGGACCACACCACACTCACTTGAGTGGGGTCCTCCAAGCGTTACGGTGTGGAATAATCGTCTCCCAAGTGAGGGGGTCGATTTGGCACTTTTTCAGGTTTGTCTTAAGACTATCCTTAGATTTTTTCAGTTGCCCGCCAGCGTTACGTTTACTATTCGTTAGGTGACTGTAAAATAGCTGCTTTGGCAGTCAACAGTCGTCCATGCGGGCAATATGGCTAGTCCAACGTAGTTGTTCATGGATAATGGTGAGCTGGATGCTCCTACAGTTGGTGTCAGCGAGAATATTGTCATTTGTTCTCTTGTCTTCCCAGCAAACTCGGGGGATGGAACATAGACTACGTGGGTAAAAGTTTTCAAGTGCCTTGAGGTGCCTCCTGTATGTGACCCATGTCTCGTTGCCATATAGCAGGGTGGGGAGGACCACTGCTTGATATACGTGCGGTGGTGGACAGGCTGGAGCCGAGATACTGAAAGTGGGTAACATTAGAGAGGGTAGTACCGTTAAGCTGGATGGATGGTGGAGGTTGTGACTGAACCAGGGGCAGGCTGAAAGAGAATCTGAGTCGTAAGTACATTCATCTCAAGGCCGAAGTGTGCATACGCATCTGCGTAGGTTTTCGGGATCTTCTCTTTAGACTGCGAAGTTCCACTGGACCGCCACTTTCTTCTTGCGGAAGGTATCAACATTGGATGAGACCGAGTTTTTTTTTTTTTTAAGTTTAAGGTGGGGGAAAGGAAGGAAGGCATGCTGGGGCACAAGGATAGAGAAGTCACGACAAATAGTCGTGGGGGGAAAGGTTGGAAAGGAAGTTTAACGAGTTAAGCACAGGGGGACGACACCCCTTGTTTTACATATTACAGAGTTTGTTGGCTAACTAAGCTATCCTAGGATGAGGTTGCACAATGGTTACTTTGGTTAACAATGACTAGTTTGATTTTACAATTACCTGTTTATCAAAATCTTATTACTGCATTACGTTATGGACTCACTAGATTGTGACTTGTTAAATGTGATCTTATATCATCTAAGTTTTAATCTAAGGTGGATCGTTGTGGCGGACATAGATGGGTCGCGGGTTGGGTTGTAGTGCGGGCAGACAGACTCCGGGGCCACCAGGCGTGGGGTCGCCCTCCGTTGATTTCTTCCCCGCGTAAGTGGTCTGGGTTGTGAGAGTCGTCCAGGAGCTTGTCTCAAACCTTCTTCCCTTGGCGATGGAACCTAACGTTAAAGGCCTCCGTTTCATTTCTCAGGTGGATGGTTTCCACTGTCTCCCATTAGGGTGGCACTTGGACACTGGCTGACCTTAGACACTTTTTTCGGAAGTTCTGTAGTGGTTGTAGCCTGGTCTTCCCGAGTGTGACGAGTGGTACATGTAGGTAATCCAACACAGGAAGTCGTTGTGTCAGTCAGTAAAAGCAGCGAGTTTATCATCGACGAGTACATTGATTTCCGGGTTATTTTCATCAAACTAGTCCTGGTGTATTCTTTTAATCTGGCCAAGCGTCTCTCTGCAGGTTTTTGTCATGGCAGTGTCGAAAATACCCCATTCGGCAATGGGATTTGGGTTGTTTGTTGTCGGGTTGTTTATCAGTCCATGTTCGAGCTGCTCTTCTGGAGGCTTTTTGCCTTCGCCGTTTTGGGGCGACGTGAAGTAAGAGTTTTGCTCTGACGAGCCGATGATCAGTGTCGCACTGGTCTGACCCACGCATC